AGCTTTGTGCTTAATTACAAACAAACAAAACTAAATGTTTGTAGAAGCAGAGTACATCTTCAATATATTGTTGTCAAATGTAAAATATATCTTCGAAATGATAATATAACTTGTATCTAGGGTACATTATTGTTAGAATACATCTTTCTGTGGTTCTTAATTGCAACCCCTTTTAGAACGTTATTTCGGAAAGTGTATCTAATAAACGTGAGGATGGAAATCAGATAAATCTAATATTTCATACTGTTTGTTTTGAAGTTAAGCTACACAATGGGCTATCTGTGCTCTGCCCACCACGGGTATCGAAACCCGGTTTCTAGCGTTGTAAGTCCGCAGACATACCGCTGTGCCACTGGGGGACATTTCAAACGGAGTTAATTGCTAGAAGGATATACGAAAACAAGTCGTGTTTTATTGGATAGAAAGATACCAAATTTAACAAAGGTCGTATTGCTAGAATATGAAACGTGTTAAATTACATCCATTATTTTTTTATAAAAATTTGTTTTATCATTAAGGATTGTTCTGCTTAAATTAAATACTTTAAAATTCGCTTTAAATCTTAAATGTATGTTATTGTTTTTTTTACGACGATTCTTACGTGTCCACAGAAATCTAGTACCCAGTTATTCCTTATTCTTAGTTTTCCGACATTCTAGTATGCTGAAGCATCTGGAGGTTCAATAGATACACCTTTTGGAGGTTTCGCATAATGTTGATTGTTAGCAATGCAAGCGTTTCTTTTGTTGTTTTTTTAGCTAGCCTATTCAGATAGTATTCAACATTAAGTGAGCACAGATCGTTTTTTTTTTATGAAAACTCATATGTTGGCAACCAGTTTTAGACTTCTGGTTTCGTACGATAGTAGTGTTAACTAAAATCTTATGATGTCAAATTAGAACCACAAAGCTGGGGCGACGTTTTACCAAAGGGCGTTGTATGGAGGTCACGAGAAAATCGAAGAGGGTTAGGAATGAGGGCAAGTCGCAACGTCGTGGAACGGGCTTCAGTGATCTACAAGTGATTGTTTTGACAAATCGAAACAAAAGCTATTCCCAAAGCTTTTACCATCTCTGCTCTGCAGCTTTTGGCTTGAAAGGTCTGGCCTTCCATTGCGTATTCAGACTTTTTTGCAGCTTTTGGCTTGAAAGGGCTGGCCTTCCATTGCTTATTAAGACTTTTCACGAGTGTTTACAGTTTGTGAGAACTGCGGTAGATCTGGATCGAGGCTAAAAGAAAATAACCATTGATTCACGAAAAGAAATGAACTTGATAGGGTAAAGAATGATCTCACACAACCACAGAATAAGTAAAATACAGAATTTGACGAAAAGAAATGAACTTGATAGGGTAAAGAATGATCTCACACAACCACAGAATAAGTAAAATGCAGAATTTGCGTGCAGTATTCGAATGGATTCATTGATGAAAATACAAGTCTTACAACCCACACGGTATTTAAAGGTACAAGATTTTTAGAACTTTTTTCCACCACAGCAATCCCCGGAGGATCTGTTGTTATATCCCAGTTTCATGGTACCTAAGACCTCCACTGCAAAGAGCACTTTTAATATCAGTAGAGGAAGCTTTTGTGCCCTCTTGTGGTTTGTGTTATCAGAACAAAGCATGATCGGAATAACCTCACTGATTTTAATTGTTCATTATATTGCTGTGAACCTGAATATTTCTATAATATATAGAAAGAAACCATGTTTTTGTGCAAGCAGCTGCTCATTAATGTCCGATCCTATCATCCTACACACGCAAGAACTTAAGTCACTTGTTTTCTTTCTTTGGTTCTTAAACGATATTGGACGCAGATGACAGAATAAGATGGGCAAATCGTATGCGCATTACCATTTTTCGCTTATCGTGCATGGCAAGCGTGTTTTGCACATGCGCTGAATTGGTCCGTCAGTGAGACAATAGATGGCAGCCGTGCCTCGCCGATCCATAAAGGTGTCAGCGTTTTCATAACTGGCAGCATACTCAAGTGAACGCGGCATGCACGAATGGCGATATGGTGCGGCAACTATTACCGAACTAGCAAAGATACGTGGAAAAAGATAAAAAGGTTCAGTGATGTTGGATTTTGGACTTGGGATTTTTACATAGGAATGTGGATTTATGAAGTCATCGGGAACGTGAAGAAGACAGTGTGAATTGTTTTGCCAGGTTAGCTCTAAACTTATCTTAAATTGTGTGTTCACCCTTTTAACAAGTTACTCAGTCGCAAACGTGATTATGCATATAACATGAATTAGTCTTAATTTCGATGTAGCGAGCGCTCTCAGCTCACCGTACAGACGCGCCACTATCCACCGTTCGCAGTGACTAATTTGAACGCATTCGTGACAGAGCGAAAGATCTAAGCGACTAGCTTTGGGCGAGCTTCGTTATTTGAACGCCAGACGAGCTAAACGAGGGGGTGCGATTTACATAGTAATCGCTCATCGCAAAAACGAACTGCAGTTTTGGTGAAGTTTTTGTTGTTGTTTTTTTTTCTGCAAACATGGCCATTTTTCGATAAGACAAACCATTGATGCGTGGTCGTTGGGCAGATTTGTCGGTTGACTAAATACGTAAGATGAATAGGACAGGATGTCAGTTTGGCGGGGAGGTTGAAACTTTATAGCGTTTGGACAAATTCATTTAACAAGAGAGCAGCTAATTCTAGAGAGACCAAATGAATCACACTTCTCATGGAGCGCCTTTGTCTTCACCCCTGTATGAGAGGCAAGTGTGCGTCGTTATTGTGTTGATGAAGCAGACATGCAGGGAGTGTGCGGCCCAAAATAATTGTGACCAATAAAGGCCAAGTCCTGTTTGCTCGTATACGCACCGTCATTGGTTAAGGAGGAATCTCGAGAATTAATTATGGCTAGCATGCAGATAGCCTTGAGAGGGAGCGTCCGGTAAGAAGGCTGGGCCTGTCTGACGGGAGCGCGCTTGCGTTCAGATGAGTTACAGTGATAGTCTAAAGTAAGGAGTACGTTGTTCCTTGTCGTCCGATTCCCTCCAGTCCCGGGCGATCGCGTCATATTGTGCGCACCGGAGTATCCTGTGCGTCCCAATTGGAGCCGAGTCATGACAAGTAGTAACAGACAGAATTTCATAACAGGTTTGAATGCCTCTTTCTCTTTTCCTATTCGCTCTTTATCTTAGTGCTGGGTGAAAGAAGCGAGGCTAGTAATGATCGTAGCCGTTGCGTCTACGGCCAACTTAGGTTGACTTACTATCTTAGCGCAATGCTCATGTGTGTGTAAATTATATGGCTTCTAATACTGAAGGGCTTTTGTTTTTATTTCGGCTGACGGTATAGGTCAGCCCCGAAATATGTGACGGCTTCATTTACCAGTGTTGTTCCTTGTTTTATTGTCCCATTGGATTAACCTTTTTTAAAAAAAAAACTTATCTAGCGTAAGTCCAGTGCTGGCGTATAGAACTCAACTGATCACAGTACATTTGTTGTTTGCTAAGACTTAGGCTTGACATTGTATGTAGGCGTAAGCTCCAGTGTTCAACCGCCAAACCACAAGTTTTCGTGTAGCGTATAAAAAGCTGATCGATTACGAGGAACTGATAGATAAAGCATCTTAAAAATAGTATTTGTCTTTCCACAGCTGTATTTTGATCTTATCTTGTGTAGTCTTTCTTCAGGTTTCTGTACGTTTAGTGGATGTTACATATTAAAATATCGACTGTCCGTTATTATGTGGTTTTTTTTTCTGTTAGATTCCAACTTTTAAAAATAAAAGGCGTAATTTTAAAACCAGTTCTCTGTTTAATGAGAACAAAATACTTCGAATATAAGTGTGTTAAATGTGTGTATATACATTCACCATTAGTGTGTAGTTTAAATGAATTTAGAATTTACGTGTATATTGTTCATCACGAGAACGAGATTTGATGTTGCAGTTAGGGAATTACTCATAAAAGTTTGGCATTACTTGATTGTAACAAGTAAATCATCATCTTTACTACGAGTATAATCGTGTTCGTATAATCAAAGCTACTTCTGTCACATACCAGCATTATTTCTAATAGCGTGTTCTCCCCTAGGTCTTACATAGTTCTAAGCTTATATTCCACACTAATATTTACTTAACAGTCGAGGGGTAAATCTGCTCGTGATCTTGTACGATAAGGAAAAAAATTCCTGTAAAAAACAAAAAAACGAGTGGTGGAAGTACGAAAGGAAACGTGCATTTCAAGCACTTTAAAAATATTTCGAAGGAAAAGAAGGTGCCGTACGTCCTTATCTGGTACATGCCCGAGGCGTAATAATGTCTACACATAGAAACGAGTGAATATATAAATATAAAAGAATTCCAGCAGCATGCATTGCAAGAGAATAGCGATAGATAGTTTACATTAGATACACAGGAATTAGTGAACTTTGGAATAACTAAAATACAGCTAGTGAAGCTGGAAACCGTGTTTCAAAACTAACGGATAAAATAAAGCATTGAATAATGAATGTCAACATGTTGTTCGAAGTCGCTGTAAAAGTCCAGTCTACATAGTAAATGTATTGAATGGACATGCGACGAGTTCTTGGTAGAAGTTAAAATAGCGTGATGTTGGAACACGTATATGCATATTTTAATAGAGTTGTATAATTTTTAGGTACGTCCTCACGCTGGAGTTTGTGTGTTTTATGTGAATTAAAAGCACATTAACGATGTAAAGATACGCGTGGTTTGAGTGTGTTTAAAATGTCTGTGATATGATAAAACCAGTGTGATTTTTATAGTCGAATAAAGGCGTCAAAAAGTCCCATGATTCCAGTATGTATGATGTGTACATAACGTTGAAATTTAGCGTCCTTAATTTAGCGATGTAAGACTAGGGGAAGGCAGCTAGTCATCACCACCCACCGCCAACTCTTGGGTTACTTTCTTACCAATGAATAGTTGGATTGACCGTCACATTATAACGCCCCCACGGCTGAATGGGCGAGCATGTTTGGTGGAACGGAGATTCGAATTCGAATCCGCGACCCTCAGATTGCGAGTCGAACGCCCTAACCACCTGGCCATGCTGGGCCTGGGTGGGGGGGGGGAGGATAGTGTCAACGTTGTGTGTTTTGTGTAGTTTTTAAAGTACGTGTTCTTTGTGATCCATCCGAAACTTTTACTGTGTGTTATGTAGTAGTGTAATTCTTTAAGTGTTATTAATGTCCTGTGTTATATATAGGGACGCCAGTTGCGGGTCTGTAAAGAGGAGAGGGAAGTAGGGCACCCCCCCCCCCTCCTTTCAGGAAACTGATAATAAAGAATATAAAGTACCAGTTTTACGTGTTTACTGTTTATGCTGTAAAGTTACAATACAATCGAACGCCAGGCCACAGATTATTGTATTTTCACTTCAGAAAAATCCAAAAGCTTCCAGGAGCCCCGAATCCGTGTAAGAATTTGCCCCATTCCCCAAATTAAATTACAGATAATGTTTCTTATGCGTGCGTATTTTTTGTAGCGTCGTCGTTATTTATTTCATTTGTTGTCTTTTCATTTGAGGATAAATTAATAGTGTCTGCATGTCTATCGTATTGTCGTTTAACTAAATTATCTCGAAGACTTTAAATTAGAGAAGTTACACAAAATTGTGTCTTAAATAAAATTTAACAAATTTCCTATGAAAGTGTTGTCGTATAACGTCAGCTTAACCGTTCGCGCGAGCAATATTCTGTCGCTATTTCTTTGTTTTCATCTGAACAATTGCTAGCGACACATGGTGGGATTTCCTGATGACACTTATGCGTTGTGCTAGAAATTATTTTCACTTTTTAACTGCAATATGTTAGATATTCGATATTTCAACCCAAACTTCACCTTATGCTACCTGTGGGCTTAAACGGTCCAGTCAGAGAGACCCAAAGTATAGGCACATCTTCCCCCAATTTTAAACTGCTGGCCAGAGGAAGGGCAATTAACCGCTGAATATACGTCTACTGTCAACCCAATAATGGGGATGAATGTTACATTTTTAACGCGCCCACGGCTGAAAGTGCGGAGTGTATTCAGCGCCATATAGTGGGCTCAAATGTAAGAACTGCCAAGTATAATTTCAATTGCAGCGAGCAACATAATATATAATAATATAATGCAATGAAGGTTACAAAGAAGCTTTAGAAATAGATAGAAAACAACAACAACCACTAGCAATAACGATGACAAAAGTGTATTTGGAAATGTCATCTAACGATCTGACTTCTCATGAAATTCCCAATCTTTGTTATCTTGAATGATATATATACATTAAAAGCATGTTGTAGAGGGCCTGGGCGTTCGTCATTTTAAAACGAACACCGTGAGTCTGTTGGCACGTGATTAACGCAAGAAAAGACAGGACGAGATGGGTGGTCTCCAAGTTGACAGATCCACACCCTCACTTATCTGATTTTGGGTGCTTTACACCCTTAAACAGGTGCTGTCACAGGACACGATAGTACGTTCCCCAATAAAATTATGTTATATTTGGAAATTATATGTAATATTAAGTTTTCAAATACAAAGGAAAAACGTGTAAAAAAATAATATTCGTTTATGATTCGTGCAAAGCAAACGCCTTAAGTTATTGTATCACCGATGAGATCTCGAGACTACAACAGGAACGTTCTTGGGAGTTTAATAAGTACCTAATATCAACATATATTTCACAAATGGGGGTGTATTTATGGATCTCAGAAACATTATCATTCGAAATAAACTCGTCACATACTTGCTGAATGAGACGGAGCCTAAAGTTAATGGTTAATATCCGGGGCGTTTAGTGTGAATGTGATGTTACAAAACGTAATTGTTATAATAAATAGATTACGTGTACGGGCATTGAATCCTTCGGTTAAAAGATTCAATCTTCATGAGTTTTGGAAAGAAACCCCAATGATAAAAGCAAATTACCTTATCTCTGGAGCTAACGTTATCAGTTGTCAAAATAGAAACTTAGAGAAACTTTAATAGCGTTTTTATTTAAGTTAATCCCCTTATAGTATATATATAACGTACACGTAGTTTGTCAACCTCAACTTTACCGTCACTGAGTTAGAAAACTCTGTGCTTTCAGAATACATATTATTTGTTTTTCTTATCTTTTCTGCTCGAAAAGATAATACTGAGAGGGAATTGTGATAAAAAAAAATTGGGTGTTGGAAGGATGGTGTTACTGGGCGA